AAACCGTCTGTGGATGGTAAAGATTTTACAGCAGTCATGATTATACATGGAAAGGAGATTTGGTTATTTTTGTAGTATAGAAATTAGCATACAATTATTGATAATATATATTGAAGGAGCTAAAGAAATTTTGTCTCTAAATATGACTCACTGGTATAAAGAATATTTCAAATTCAAGGCCATTCATGATCAGGAAGCAATGAAGGAGGCCTTTCTACATAAAACCTTAGTAATCTGATCGATTGAGAGCTGCTGACTTCCTTATTACCTGCTAATAGACTTGGAACCAAAGTAATTTAAAGCATGACACCTGTCTCTCAGGTTAATCCACAAATCAATCTGTTTCCACCCATCTACACCCCCCACCCCCACAATCACTTGCTGAACCTATACTTTCCACATTCTCCCCCCTCCCTTCCAAAGGGCATCTATAAAGTTCTCTGACCATCACTGAGACTTTGGGTAATCATGCTTGCATTTCCCTCCATGTGCATAGCATTTGGAAACAAACCTTTCTCTTATTAATTTACCATAATTGTGAGTTGATCTTTCAGCAAATCAGATCAAGGGAAAAGGGCAGATTTCGCCATGACCTCTACAATATCAAGGCCCATTAAACATTACAGGTCTAGATGTTTGTTTTAACAGAAACACAGATTATCATAACATACTACCTTTTATTTAATTAAGAGTAATAGTCTTTAGATGACTGAGGGCAATGTAGGATATTGTATGGGTATAAACTTTAACTCTTAAAGTTCAGGGTTTTTTCTTTTTTTTTCTTTTCTTGGCCGGGGCCAGGTTTGAACCTGCCACCTCTGGTATATGGGGCTGGTGCCCTACTCCTTTGAGGCACAAGCACCACCTGTTTTTTTTCTTTTTTTTAATGTTATCGTGAGTGAACTAACATTTCAAGAAAGCTTTGTTGTTTTAACCAAACTTCATACATGATGGCCAATTGGATCACATGTAAATTTCCTAATATATTTTCTCTTAAGAATTCTATCTAACACACACAATCTATAGATATGCTGCAAAACTTTGTTTTGTCCTTACTTTCTTCCTCCTAATTAATCAGTTACTGCACTTCAGGACGAAAGGTTACTATGCATGGTTTTCTCTCATACATTACTTTCCTTTGTGTTCAGTCTTTCTTATCAAAAATATCTTTCATTACACAGGATCACAGTTTACCATAAAGTTAGTTGTTCACTTACTGAAACTGATAAAAAAGATTTTTAAGGCTCGGCATCTGTGGCTCAAGAGGCTAAGATGCCAGCCATGTACACCTGAGCTGGCCAGTTCAAATCCAGCCTGGGCCCTCCAGACAACAATGATGGCTGCAACAACAACAACAACAACAAAATAGCTGGGCATTGTGTCGGGCACCTGTAGTCCCAGCTACTTTGGAGGCAGAGGCAGGAAGACTTGCTTGAGCCCAGGAGTTGGAGGTTGCTGTGAGCCATGATGCCATGGCACTCTACCCAGGGTGACAGCTTGAGGTTTTGTCTCAAAAAAAAAAAGATTTCTAAAAGGAAAACTCTTATTCGTGGGTAGAGAAGAGACTCAGTTTCCCAAATAATCAAAAGCCCTAATAAAGACTGTTGAGATATTATATAAAGGTGAACAAAAATCTTCTGCTATTCCTATTCACATCATACGGAAATCCTGTTCAAAAGGAGAAAATCAATGCATACTGCATTAATGTATTAATGATAAACCCAATTCCAATAAAATCTTATTTGGTTATTCTCAGGCCAATTACTCAAGAGGCAAAGAAAAACTTTTTTGTAGTGTGACCGATTTTCCTGATAGCCATCTCAGATGTAGTTACTTTTATGGAGGAATTATGATCCTAAACATATAAACTTTAATAAGGAACTTAAAACTAATTTCCTTTATCAAAGATTACAAAGTTCACACGAACCAAAAGGCATTTAAGTTCTTTCTCATGTTCTTGGTAAAATATTTGACTTAAGCCCTTACTTTTTAAGCCAATTAATTAGAGCTCTTTTACACTGGTAAAAGTAGTTAAACATTCCATACACGTGACATGTACAGACATGTACACATACAGAAGTAGGCACTTTAGGTGACACAAGGCAGAAAGTTTACAGTTTAAAAAATTAGAGCATATTAAGGACAGGAAGAAACTAGGGCTTATCAGAAGTCAGAGAAAGGAAGCTATAAATAAGATCTTTTGTTAGTGGATGGGATAACTGCAAAAGCAATAAAGGGTGCGCAAAAGTACTTTATCTTCCAGTGAACTGAGAAACTATGGAATATACAGGTGGGGGGACAGTATTTTATTTTAATGATAGAGATAGGAGAGAGAAATAGAGGTCTCTAAAATTTAGGAGAACAGAGGATGTGACCCTGGTATTTACTAGAATTAATTTGCTTATCTTTGTCAGAAATTTAGTTACCTAAGGCCATTCCAGTGTGATGAGGGAGAGTCCATTTTGACACGTTCAGATGGAAGCAATTTTTGCCAATTTAGGGACCTGTGGGAAAGAAATTCTCATAAACCTGACAGGAGCACCGCCATTTTAGAAAATCAGGTTAGAAACCAGCAATCCCCTCCCCACATACCCTGAGTGCCCTAAGGCCAGAGTTCCTGGAAACATCCTACCCATAACCTGTCCCTAAGGATATACCCTCAATCCCCACCCACCAGCACTTGGGAAGCACCCCAGGGGGTACTGGCAGGCTCACTGCCCCCTTCCAACTATGCAGATGAGGATAATCTCATACCTGATCAATCTCCATTCTCCTTTCCTCTCTGTTTAAAGTCCTTCCTTTTTCAGCTTGGCGCGGCTAGGGCGCCAGCCACATGCACCAGAGTTGGTGGTTTCAAATCCAGCCCGGGCCTGCCAAACGACACTGACAACCGCAACCAAAAAACAGCCAGGAGTTGTGGCAGGTGCCTGTAGTCCCAGCCATTTGGGAGGCTGAGGCAAAACAATCGTGTAAGCCTGAGAGTTTGAGGTTGCTGTGAGCTGTGACATCACAGCACTCTACCCAGGGCAACAGCTTGAGACTCTGTCTCAAAAAAAAAAAAATGTCCTTCCTTTTCCCTGGACTGAACTCCTCTCCTTTTCTGAAGACCCTCACCCCTATGTTTCCATGACAGAAACTCTCAGGGACCACCAGTTTCGGAAGATGAAGGTAGTCTCCTGTTCTAAGGAGGAGACAGTCTTGCTTCAAGTGTCTTTCTGTTTTGCAGGCCAGTCACAGTGGAGGATGTTTTTTGGAGAACTTTATTCTAGGGACCCAGAGTTTTTTTTTTTTTTTTTTTTTTTTGAGACAGAGCCTCAAGCTGTCACCCCCTGGGTAGACTGCCATGGCAACATAATAGCTCACAGTAACCTCCAACTCTTGGGCTCAAGTGGTCCTCTTGCCTCAGTTTTTTGTATTTTCAGTAGAGACGGGTCTCACTGTGGCTTAGGCTGGTTTAGAATTTGTGAGCTCAAGCAATTCACCTGCCTCAGCCTACCAGAGTGCTAGGATTATACGCATGAGCCACCGCACCTGGCTGGGACCCAGAGCCTAGACAGACAGTGCTCCACCCCTGCAGATAGCCCTGCTGTCCTGCCTGGACCTTCTGAATAACCACCTCAGAAGAAGACTTAGGTGGCAGTCACTATTTAGAAAAAATTTTCTGCCTTCCTGCGGGCTGCTGTCCCTCTCCTTTTCTCCATTCTCTCTCCACCTCTATTAAAAGTTCTGTTTGTGGTACTTGAAGCTTTTTAGTTTTGGAGTTTATGCTGAATAATGGGGCCAACTGGGGGATGAAGTAATTTGTTCCTCTCTGGTATTAAGATTTACGTTAGTAAAGACTTGAAAAGGCTTTAGACAAGGAAAATGGCTGGATTTTTGCCCTGGCTTTGAAAGATTTATTATGCTTTTATGTATTTTTTGAGAGAGAGTCTTACTCCATCCCCCTGGATTGAGTACCATGGCATCACAGCTCACAACAACCTCAAACTCCTGGGCTCAAGTGATCTTCTTGCCTCAACCTCCTAAGTAGCTGGAACCAAAGGTGTCAAAGGCCACAGCGCCCAGCTAGTTTTTCTATTTTTAGAGAAGAGGTCTCCCTCTTGCTCAGGTTGGTCTCAAACTCCTGATCTCAAGCAATCCTCCGCCTTGGCCTCCCAGGGTGCTGGGATTACAGGCCTGAGCTACCGAGCCTGGCTATTGTTATGCCTTTTGACTTACTAAATATTTGAAAGAGGGAGTCGGCATGTGGGACAAAAGGAGTGTAAGCAGGGAGAGTGGGTGATTGGGGGTGTGGGAGAGGCCAGGGCAGGCGACAGGGGAAACTTCCAGAGAAGTTGACGGCCTGCAGGTCCTGCAAGGGATGGGTGTGGCCCGTGTGAGCAGGTGAGTTGGTAAAAGTGGAAGTTGGTGGGGGTGGGTAGAAGTTAGGACGGAAAAAACTAGAGATGTGGCAGCCTGAAGATCCGGATTAGCGTGGGGGCGGGGGCCGGGTTGGAACAGTGGAGCTGGAGGAATCTATGCAGGAGGGAAGACTGGGCGATCCGGAGGAGATGGGGAAGTTCAATGTGAAGGTGTCCAGGAACCCTACTCACCCTCCAACGGCAGCGGGAGGATATCTTCTAAAAATCTCCACAGGAGGTCAGTGCAGTGGGGTCTGGGCGCCACCGGGACCAGGTTCTCAGGGAGCTGCGGTGGCCTCGGCAGGCCGCCAGTCCCAGTTTTCAGCACCGGATAAAGGGGCTCGGAGGTACACCCAGACCGGAGGGGGTCAAGCCAGGTTCAGTGAAAGGGGACAGAGTCGCGCCTGGGCAAACATGGCGGCTGCGCCAAGAGGAGTTGGGGGCTTGTTTTTATCCTGGGCATAGGGGCGGAAGGTTCCAGCGCTTGCTGGCAGGGTCGGTCGGGACAGGGTCTTTCCGGTTGGGGCGGGGCCGGGTCCGCCTTTGTTCCGGGAGGGGAGAGGGAGGGAGGACTTAGGTCCCTAATTGTGGGGTTCCTTCTCCGCTTAGACTACCTTGTAGAAAAGCCACAGGACAAAAAAGATTTGCTCTAATGCTAACAGACGGGGTGGGGGAGCCCAGTAAGTCCCGTCTGGTGACCTACAGTCAGTCAAGGTAGGTCAGATAATTTCCTTACGGCCAGTTTTTACACAGAGTAATTTTACGTTTGATGGCTGGCTTTTGGGGAAAGGAGTTCTGTGGCTAACCTTAGAAGCACTAATCACTAATGCCTCAGAATATGACTTTTTTTGCAAATGGGTTAGTTTAGGATCTGATTAGTTAAGATGAGCTCATATGGAATAGGGTAGGCTCTAAATCTAGTGCCTGCTGCCCTTTACGAAAAGGGAGAATTTGAAACTGGACACTCACAGAAGGGAGAAGACAGCCGCCTGCAAGTCAAAGAGAGAAGCCAGGAACACAGCCTTCCCTGGGAACCTGCAGGAGGAACCGACCCTGCTCACACCTTCCTCCAGGACGTCTAACCTCCCAAACTGTGAGGCAATAAACTTGTGCTGTTGATGCCATCCAGTCTGCGGGACTTTGTTAGGCACCCCTAGTAAACTAATATGCATATATTCCCTGATTTAATTCTCACAATTCCCTGTAATTCCGAAGGGTCTCTGTTGTCTAAAAATGGAGTGAAGTCCAAAGTTTTTCTTTCTTTTTTTTTTTTGAGACAGAGTCTCTCTGTCTCCTGCGTTAGAGTGCCATGATGTCAGCCTAGCTCACAGCAATCTCAAATTCTTGGTCTCTAGCAATTCTCCTGCCTCAGTCTCCCAAGTAGATGGGACTACAGGTGTTCACAACGCCCAGGTAATTTTCCGATTTTTAGTAAATGTGGGGCCTCACTCTTGCTGAGGTTGGTCTCAAACTCCTGAGCTCAAGAAATCCTCCCACTTCAGCTTCCCAGAGTGCTACAGTCATCGATGTGTAAAATTTTCAAGGTACAGAGCTCTGGGAACCACGTGTTTTCTGTCTATAAATATCAGGACTTGTCACTCTGCATCTCAGCAGTCATTGGACTTCAACATGGTCACTTCTCAGTTGCTGGCCTACGTGGCACTTTTGTTTTTCTGTGTCTTCAAAGCCAGCTCTCTAGACACTTTTATTGCGGCTGTTTATGAGCATGCCGTGGTATTGCCTAATGCCACCCTAACGCCAGTGTCTCCTGAGGAGGCCTTGGCATTAATGAACCGGAATCTGGACCTTTTGGAAGGAGCGATCACATCAGCAGCACAGCAGGTACTGTCACTGGCATTTCTCTAGAGTGTTGGATTCCATGAGAAAGGAGGGGCCCCTAGAAGACAGGGCCCCTGTCAGGGTCAGTTATATTTATGGGTAACATATGTATGAGGATGGCCAGCAAACTTTGTTTCATAGTTAAAATCCTTTCCTTTCAACATTACTATGGCTAGGACACTATGACACTTCCCTAAGAGTAAAAGCAAAGCTTTTGTTGTTGTTGTTTTGAGACAGTCTCACTTTGTCATCCTCGGTAGAGTGCTATAGCGTCATACCTCATAGCAACCTCAGACTCTAGGTCTCAAGCAATTCTCTTGCCTGAGCCTCCCAAGTAGCTAGGACTACAGGCGCCTGCCACGGTACCTGGCTATTTCGCTCTGGCTCAGGCTGGTCTCGACCTGTGAGCTTAGGCAATCTACCCACTTTGGCCTCCAAGAGTGCTAGGATTACAGGCGTGAGCCACTGTGCCCAGCCCACAGTAAAAGCAAAATTAAGGAAAAAATGGTTTCAGCATCATTAAAAAGCAGCTGACCTTTGAGGAACTTGCTATAAATTCAGCATCTTTGCTCCTCTTTTCAGCTATAGATGGAGGTTGGAGGTTAATAAATGGGTGGGAGCTGGATGCCTTTCTTAGAATTTTAGCGCCCTTGATGTACTCTCATGCTCTTAAGAGTTTCAGGTCTCCCCCCAACTTTGGGTAAGTTTGTAACCTGAAAACAATAACTTAAGTTGCAGATTACTTACCAATATGTGTTATATTCTTCCTGTTTTAATTACAAGAAAAAATATATATGCAAATGCATAACAAGCCCGAGTTGAATGAAGGAGCTAATCATACACTGTGTGTGTGGTTTTCCTGAATATGATATTCACTGTCAAGTATAGACCAGGGATATATGAAGTGTCATGGAAGTCGTGGGTACATATATAGTGCATACATCTATCAATATATATTTTTATATATACTAGAATTTAAAAGGTTATGAGAAGATCTGATGTTCTCTCTCATCATTAGTCCAACTATTTCCTAAAGTTCACAGCAGCTTTCAATTGTAGGTGCCCGGGATAGCACAGGCAGCACCTGTACCCTGAGCACAGTGCAGGCAAACAGCAGGTGATCCTTCTTTTCATGAAGAATAGGAATCCTGTTTGCAGGGTATGCTGCAGAGGAAGAAGAAAACAGAGCGTCTGAGATGTAGTTCATTGTTGACACTACCTGGCACAACTCTTCACCAACATTCAGGGAGGGGTTGATTTGGGAAAGAGCTGGGTTTATATTTAGTTAATGATGGCAGTGGGAGACAGAGCCATGAGGGGCCTGGAAAACTATTAATGTCTATGAAAAAAGGAAAAAGTCGTATAGAAATGATGATGGCAGGATTAGAAAATTAATGTGTTTGGGAAAAGAAAATTAATTATAAACATATAGGAAGTAAAGGAATAAGATGAAGGAGGGGGAAAAACCTAAGTAGTTGGTAGCCTCTCAGTTCCTCTTGCAGGCCCCCTCTTTGACTGCCTATGTGAGGAGGATTTTAATTAAGCTCTATTTTTAACAGGGTGCACATATTATTGTGACTCCAGAAGACGGTATATATGGCTGGAACTTCACCAGAGAATCTCTCTACCCGTACTTGGAGGATATCCCACACCCTCAAGTAAACTGGATCCCCTGTAATAATCCTAACAGGTAAAGAAACAGATTGTGAAAATTCCCAATAGTGAGCATCAGCTTGTTTTACTTGAGAAAACTTTGTTGATGATTACTGCATAGATGCATTATCAACTCTGTGTTTGAAGATAGTTTATTTTTTATTTTTTTATTTGTTGAGACAGAGTCTCACTCTGTTTCCCTGGGTAGAATGCCATGGTGTTGTAGCTCACAACAACCTGAAACACTTGGGCTCAAGTGATTCTCTTACCTCAGCTTCCCCAGTAGCTGGACTACAGGTGGCCACTACAATGTCTGGCTAATTTTTCTATTTTTAATAGAGATGGGGTCTCGCTTTTGCTCAGGCTGGTCTGGAACTCCTGAGCTTAGATGATCTACCCACCTTGACCTCCCAGAGTGCTAGTATTATAGACATCAGCCACTGCACCTGGCCCATAGATTTTTTTTTATCTACTATGAATGTATTTTTTATAAAAGTGAATATGAATTATAAAATCACAGAAATTGATGCTGGAGAGTAGCTTAGAAATTATCGCATTCAATTTGAATAGCTTTCCATTGAGGGAATGATCTACAGATGATAGTTCTGACTTGCCTACAGTCACAGAAGATGTTAGTGGGAAATTTAGACCCAAACGCTAGTCTCTGACTCCTTGCCAATGAACAGAGAAATATTTTCCTGAGTAGGTCTATAATTTGGAGACTGTGAGAATGACAAATTTAGAACCACAGGTCAGTTTAGAATTAATCATTTTATTTTCTCACTGATAGGACAGCTGATAATGTAGTAAAATCCTTAAAGTTTAAGCTGATTGTTCATTTAAGAGGTGATATAGCAGAACTATTAATTGATCTAAATCTAATCTAGACTAAGGAGATATGAAGTCTGACACAAGTAGTGTAATTAATGTTAATGTAAGGTGAGGATTTTCAACCAGTGTACCATTAGAGGATCTTAGATGTGCTGTGAAAATTTCTAATACTCACTAATTATTTTTGAAAGAAGTTCAAAGCACAGGAAGTAAGTTCTTTTTTTTTTTTACTCTTTTCTTTTGATGAACATAATTTAATTGTGTCATGGAAATTGAACTATTGTTTCAAATGTGCTGGGAAGTAAAAAAGATGGTAAAACACTGATATAAGAAAACCTAAGAGAATTGTATTTGTTAACAAACTTCTTTTTGAATGCACATGGCTAGTATTGTTTTAGGAATTCTTTTGGAACTGCTTTCAAAACCATACAAACTAACTGCAGAGAGAGACACTTTGATGTTTGACAAAGTTCAATATTATCTTACTCATTAATTTTATTCTCATTTCATTGTATTGTAAGTTTCCAAATGGTAAAAATTATATTATCACTTTCCATAATGAATTGAATTGACTTGTTTCTGAATGGCCTCTAGAAGCAAATTTTCAAAGGCCTCCTGAATATCCCCACACGAATGTTGCTTTTGTTCCATTTCACAAAGCCTGGTTGCCCCTTTCTATCAACTCCTGAAATCTTCATTTCTTGCCTTCATTCATTCATTTGATATATTTCTGAGTACCCAGGCAATGTTCTGGGCAATGAGTTGAACAAAAGATGAAAAATCCTGGAATTTATATTTTAGTATGAGAGAACAGAATTTTTTAAAAAAGGATAATATATACCTATGTTCTTTTAATCTAGGTATTCATCATCTATCTACCTGTCTATGATATGAAATGGAGATAAATGTTATGAAGAAAATTAATAGGAAAGGTGAATAGGTTGGCAAGTGTGGGGCTAAAATTTTTAATTTTTTAATTTTCAGAGAGCTTCATAGTGACATTTCGGCAAAGACCTGAAGGGAGTGAGAGAGTAGGTTATATGAGTATCTAAGAAAAGACCATTCTAAGTTAAGGGAATTATAAACTCCAAGATCTATGATTAGAGTATATGTCTATTCTATCAGAAAAAAGGGAAGTGTGGCCTGGGCACAGTGGCTCAACGCTGTAATCCTAGCACTCTGGGAGGCTGAGGGAGGTGGATTGCCTGAGCTTACAGGTTCAAGACCAGCCTGAGCCAGAGTGAGACTTCGTCTCTAAAAATAGCCAGGCGTTGTGGCGGGCACCTGTAGTCCCAGCTACCTGGGGAGGTTGAGGCAAGAGAATAGCTTGAGCCCAAGAGCTGGAGGTTGCTGTGAGCTCCAACTCATAGCACTCTAGCAAGGGTGAGCAAGTGAGCCTCTGTCTCAAAAAAAAAAGGAAAGTGTGGTTAAAGTGATGTGAGGGCAGGGGATAAAGTAGACGACAGCAGATAGGTAAGATGAACTGATTACATATGACTTGATAAACCATAACAATGACTTTGTTCCTTGAGTGAGAATGAAGCTATTGGAGAATTTTGAGCAGAGATGTGACATGTCCTGACTCAAGTTTCCTCTTTAAGCTTTATAGAGAATAGACTCCAGGGGGGTAGGTCAACAAAGAAGACAGAGGCAGTTAAAAAAATCACTGCAGTAACTTAGGCGGAGAGATGATGGTGTCTTAAACCAAGATGGTAGAATTCTAAGTACTGAGAAATGGCCAGATTCTAAATAAAATTTGAAGGTAGCATCAACAGGTTTTGCTGAAAGACTGGATGAAGGATGTGAGAGAAAGAGAGGAATCAAGCTCCTTGACTCCTCACATAGACTTGGATATCATGTCTTGTTGAGTATGTTTGAAATATCCTCAGAATCAACTGGTTTCTCTTCTCACAGTCAGCAGCCTTTTTGGGCTTACATCACCACTCCTTAGCCTAACAGGAAGAGGCCTTCATCATGTCTCTTTTTTATTTTATGTACTTATTTAGAATTTATAAGTGCCATAGTTCCAAAAATATTTGAGGTTTCTTATAGCTAGTGTAATTAAAAGATTAACCTGGCCCTGGCAAAAAACTGCAAAAAAAAAAAAAAATAAATAAATCATAATAATACATTTTTTCCAGTTTTAATATCAGGTGTATCCAGATGAAGTAAAATGATTTTGTAGTATTTCTTCTTTTTCTATTGTCATAAGATTTGTCATGATCTGTTTTTTGAAATTATCTTTTATTTTTATTGTGTATTTTTTGAGAGTTGGAAAAAAATAAGAAGTTAACTGATGACTACATACTGAATCTCAGAGTCAAAGCATTCTATAATAGACATACTCTCATCTGACAATGTGAATGTTACTTTTTTTGCATTATTATTGCTCAATATTTCATTGTAGCAATCATCTGATTTCTGAATGTATTTATCTTCATTTGTTCTTTACAAGGTTTTTATTTCTAGTCCTTATCTTAAACATTGTTATTGTTATTAAATTTTAAGCCTTTTTAATTTTGTGAAGGCAAAAAGTGGAAACCAAATAAACACATGTATATGTATAGAGAAAATTTAAAAAAATAAAGTTTGTATCTAGTAGGTCTGCTATGTGGTCTGTTTTAGGGATGGTTTCTCTTGGTTTATTTTTTTCCTTTGAGTGGGTCATACTTTCCTGTTTCTTGTTATAACTTGTGATTTTTTTTTTTTTTTGGTTGATAGATGGTCATTTTGTTGTACCCAAATGTGAGTGGAATTATAGAGGATTATGTCAGCACAGAGTCCAATTGAGTTTTAAGGTCCCTTATTAGCTGGCACCAAGAGAGGGGTTCTTATCCTCCAAAAATCTTTTGGCCAAAAAAGAAGCAAGGGACCAGGGTTTTTAACTTGTGCTTGCAGTTGGGTGAGGTTTCTGAGAGCAAAGCGGTTATAGAAGGGAAACTTGCCAGATTAGAGTCTACAGGGAGGGGATAAGTGGGCACAAAAGGGCCTTTCAGAAAAGCAGGTGTTGTATCCCGACTGGGAGTTTTCAAAGTTTTGCAACTTTAAACTTATCTTTCTGTTTCTGCAGCGTATACATGCTCAGGGGCCTGTAACAATATGGGAGGGGAGGGGCAGTGGGGGCTGCAAAGTTCCAAACCATATACAAGATGGAGTCAGCCACTACAAAATGAAGTCAATCAGGCTTCACTGTTTGAATCTTTTCAGGTAATAATCCTGGAAATCTGATTCTCCTCCTTCTCTAGGTTTGCTGTATTTGTTTTCTTTTCTTTTTTTGATTGTTACAGGATGTTTCTGTGTTAAGGATCAGCTTGAGGTACAACTTAATATCTTCTCAACTCTTTCCTGAACCTACACGTTTCCCTGGGCATGTACAGTGACTTTATGAAAGAAGAAAAAAAAAAGGCAGCACTGATCCTTTAAATCTCCTGGAAATCACTTCAGCCAGAGGCAGGATTTACAACTATGGGGGGTGTGTGTATCGGTGTGTGTTTAACAGTGACTGCCTGCCTCTGTGATTGCACCTTCATGATCAGAAGCAACATTCAGTGATCAGACTACAGATCCCTGACATGGGAGACAGGGCTGTTATTGCCCACCTGCTCCCACAGGCTGACTGCAACCTACGTCAGGAACACACTGTGGCTGCTCATCATAGGACCAGGGAATGTGAGCTGGTAGCCACTGGTGAGCTAAGAGCTGAAATTGCCTGAAATTAACTGCAGTTCACCTTCCGAGACTTTCCTCAGAAGTTGCAAGCCTTTGAATAGATTCTGGAGCTCTAAAAATGTTACATCAGGCTGGGCGTTGTGGCTTACACCCATAATCCTAGCATGTTAGGAAGCTAAGGCTAGTAGATCACCTGAGCTCAGGAGTTCAAAACCAGCCTGATGGCTAGGCACCTGTACCACAGTGGTTATGGCGCCAGCCACATTACACTAAGGGTGGCGGGTTTGAACCCAACCCAGGCCAGGTAAACAAAAACAACTGCAACAGCAACAACAACAAAAAACCTGCCTGAGCAAAATCTAGACCCTGTCTCTAAAAAATAGCTGGGCACCAATAGTCCCAGGTACTTGGGAGGCTGAGGCGAGAGGATTGCTTGAGCCCAAGAGTTTGAGATTGCTATTAGCTAAGATGCTACAGGACTCTACTGGGGACAAGAAAGTGAGACTCTGTCTCAAAAAAAAAAAAAAGTTACATCAGACAGGTTCTGCCAGTGCTATTGCTGTCTTTGTGGGGAGACAGATTCTTGGTGCTTCCTATTCTGTTATCTTTCCCTGAATTCTCCTAAGTGAGTTTTTGTTCACTCATTCAAAATATTTAATGCTTTTTTTCTGCCAGTCATGGGTTCCGTGACTAGGATATGTAGGCCTTTGCACAATAATATCGACAGGATGCAGACATTATAAGATGAACACAAGTGAACATATGATAATAGGAGTATGATAAATGCTACGGAGATAGAAATACATGCCTGGAGTCTTATCCTGGAGTAGTTTCCTACAACCACATTCCCACAAGTATGAGTTTCCTCTAAACTACCTTCTTGTCTTAATTTTTCTCTTCCATCTACTGTTATTTAGAATTACTTTTGTGTATATTACATAATATGATGTTCAGGGGACAATCATTCAGAATTTTGTTTAAAGCTGAGATTGACGATTAAAAATTTTTCCTCTTCCAATGAACATGTAACAGGTTTGGCCACACCCCAGTACAAGAACGACTCAGCTGTCTGGCCAAGGATAACTCTATCTACGTTGTGGCAAATATTGGGGACAAGAAGCCATGCAATGCCAGTGACACTCAGTGTCCCCATGATGGCCATTACCAATACAACACTGATGTGGTGTTTGATTCTCAGGGTAGGCTGGTGGCACGCTACCATAAGGTAAAACTAGTTTACAAATAATTCAGTTAGTGAATGCTTCATGAAATAAAATGGACAAGAAGAAAAAAATGGTATTGATAATAAAAAGCATATTTTATAAGTAGAGTAGAGGCAAAGCATAAAAATCATGATTACATGTAGAAAGGTCCTATAAAGAGACTCAAGGACTTCCCTGTGTGCCTTTAGGAACACAGGAGTGTGTTGCTGGAAGTGCGCGAGAGTCACAAGGAGCTCCCTGCATTAAAATCTAATGTTGCCTTTGAACTTTGTCCTTTTAAAGACATGTCTTGGCAATGGGTCAAGGCAAGAAACTTACCAGATAGACTTGGTCTTGAGAAAGGAGCAAACAAAGTTCTTTGTTCATAGGAAGTGAGGAAATGTACTTGGAAAATTGAATAGGCATATTATACTCCTATGTCTTGTAAGATTCAAGAGGGTCTTTATAGAAAAGAATGCTCAGGTACACATCAGCCATGCAGAGATTGAGCCAAAGCCTCCATTTAGCTGGAGTGGCCTCTGATTCATCAAAGCAAACTTTTTCTGTGGAGGAAGTGGTCACAGATGAGACTGGCACTGTCTAATGGGTATGAACTTGGGCTTTTTCAGACACAGTAATGTCCAGGCCAACTTCCTAAGAGAATTTTTCCCCCTTCTGTTTATTGCAGCATAACCTTTTCATGGGTGAAAATCAATTCAATGCACCCATGGAGCCTGAGGTTGTGACTTTCAACACCACCTTTGGAAGGTTTGGCATTTTCACCTGCTTTGATATACTCTTCTATGATCCTGCAGTCACCCTGGTGAAAGATTTCCATGTGGACACCATACTCTTCCCAACGGCTTGGATGAATGTTTTGCCACATTTGTCAGCTATTGAATTCCACTCGGCTTGGGCCATGGGCATGGGGGTCAATTTCCTTGCATCTAATACACATAATCCCTCGATGAAAATGACAGGTAATGTGTGATCTTCAAGATTTACTGGCTTGCTGTAATCAGAAAAGGAAAAAAATGTTTTCTTAGCAAACACATACTCTGTAATGTAATGATTTCCAATTCTTTTGAGCCTCTAGCTGGTGATATGCTGTGAAATCAGTCTCAACCCACATCTCAATTGTTCTGTAGATTTATTTAGTGTTATTCAACTTGGATGTACTTTCTGTTTTTTTGGCCAGGGTTGGGTTTGAACCCGCCACCTCCAGTATATGGGGCCGGCACCCTACCCCTCTGAGCCACAGGCACCGCCCTACTTTTTTTTTTTTTTAATTTTACTATTTCTTACAAAAACCTCTCCCTTCTTGGCTCCTTGGTGTCATACTTTATTGGATTTCCTCTCCCCTCTGTCTTTATCAGCCTGTTTTACTGAAATTAATAAAATAGATAAGTTAGAAGGAAAATGTTTATGAGTTTAAAATAACAGTAACAACTATGAAATCCCATTTTACTTTCTTATCTCAAATGGCATTTTCAACTTATTATTTCTAGGAAGTGGCATCTATGCACCCGATTCTGCAAGAGCATTTCATTATGATATGAAGACAGAGGAGGGAAAACTCCTCCTGTCACAACTGGAGTCCCACCCATCCCACCCTGCAGTAAACTGGACGTCTTATGCTAGCAGTGTAGAAGCACCCGCAACTGGAAACCAGGAATTTAAGGGCATTATCTTTTTTGATGAATACACTTTTGTGGAGCTTACAGGAGTCACTGCGAATTACACAGTTTGTCAGAAAGATCTCTGTTGTCATCTAAGTTACCAGATGTCAGAGAAGAGAGCAGATGAGGTTTATGTCCTAGGGGCATTTGATGGACTGCACACCGTGGAAGGCCAATATCATCTACAGGTAATGTTTTGGTGAGAAAAGACTTACTGGGCTTGGTGCCTGTGGCTCAAGTGGCTAAGGCGCCAGCCACATACACCTAAGGTGGCGGGTTCGAATCCAGCCCAGGCCCACCAAAACAACGATGACTGCAACCAAAAAAAAATAGCCAGGCATTGTGGTGGGCGCCTGTGGTCCCAGCTACTTGGGAGGCTGAGGCAGGAGACTCGCTTGAGCCCAGGAGTTAGAGGTTGCTGTGAGCTGTGATGCCACGGCACTCTACCCAGGGGGGATAGCTTGAGGCTCTGTCTCAAAAAAAAGAAAAAAGAAAAAAGAAAAGACTTTCTGGATAAAATACAGACACTCAGTTAACTTTGAATTTCAGATAAACAATGAAAGATTTTTTTAAATATAAGTATATCCCATTGGGGGATATATATTAATATACTAAAAATTTTGTTAATTTATTTGGAATTCCAATTTAGCTTGGCAATTATATTTTTACTTATTAAATCTTAAAATCCTAGATTTCATACCTATAATCCTAGCACTCTGGTAGACCAAGGTGAGTGGATTGCCTGAGCTCCCGAGTGTGAGATTGCCCTGAGCTAGAGCAAGATCTCGTCTCTGAAAAAGATAGCCAGGCGTTGTGGCAGGCACCTGTAGTCTCAGCTCCTTGGGGGCTGAGGCAAGAGAATCACTTGAGCCCAAGAGTTTGAGGTTGTTATGAGCTATGATGCCACAGCACTCTACCCAGGGTGACAAAGTGAGACTCTGTCTCAAAAAAAAAAAAAAAAGAAAAGAAAAGAAAATCCTAGATTTCAGTCCAATTTAAGCTATTTGGAATAAGGCAAAATATGTATTTGCAGTTACTAATCTTAAAAATTATTCAAATTAAAGATAATTTTAATGAGTAACTGAATATCTATGATATTTCCTGCCTGAACCATTCTTCCTATATGTTCACTAATGCCTGTCTTTCTTCATAAACAGCTTGGCACTAAGTATGGACTGGAGACAGATGAGTTGACCTCTGAGATTGCTCAGTAGAATGGCTATTTCTGCAAAGGTCCAGATCCCGCACAGTCCACAGTGGTCTCTATGTTCCTTTCATCTTGGTCTTTTCTGCCCTGGTCTGATCCCCATCCTGTCTTGCCTAGACTTATTGAATACTTTCCTCCAGTGCTTCCAGTTAATAGTCTCAGCTCCATCTAGTCCATGCCCTACACAAAATTTTAATGTGGGTCCCTTTCTCTCTCTATCCTCTTCTTTCACTTCTACTTGTATATACCCTGAGCTCCCGAGACAATTCCCCATCTCCAGTTTGCTAGCCTCTGTAGAGCCCCTGGGTGTTCGCACAGGTTGTTTCTTTTATCCATAGTGAGCTCCATCTTCTCATCTTTTTTTTTTTTTTTTGAGTCAGAGTTTCACTTTGCTGTCCTGGTACAGTGCCAGGATGTCACAGCTCATAGTAACCTCCAACTCTTGGGCATAAGTGATTCTCTTGCCTCAGCCTCCCAAATAGCTGGGACTACAGGCACCTGCCACAGTGACCAGCTATTTTTTTTGTTGCAGTTGTTATTGTTGTTTATCTGGCTCGGGCCAGGTTTGAACCTGCCACCTTTGGTGCATGTGGCCAGCGCCTTAACCACTGTGTTATGGATGCCAAGCCCATCTCCTATCTTTTGTAGTGTTTTTCAGATGTTATCTTCAGCAAGAAAGCTGTGCTGATACTTCTGCAGCGCCATGCCTACCTCCCCAGCTGGGTTAGGCACCTCTCTTATGTGCTGTGCCCTTTCTCCTCTCCTCTCCACTCCTCTCATCAAGGTGCGAGTTATCCAAATCACCAGTCTCCAGGACTTTTAGAATGTAGAAACCTATTTTCCAAAAATGTACACAGTTAGGGGAAAAAAACTGCTGAAAAAATCTGTAATATGTAGATTCATTTAAATTCACCAAATATTTATGTAATGCTTGTCATGTTTAGGTATTTTCTAGAGCCTGAGAATATTAAAATGAACAAGACAGATCAGCCTTCATAGAGCTTAAAGTCTGTAAGATTATAGACATCGAATAGAAAACACAAGAAATTATTTAATTTTGGTTGTGGAAAATACTGCAAAGGAAAAGTACCATGCACAATTAGGGCTGGGAGGGTGAGAGGAAACTTCTCCTTTCTCCCTAAAATTCTCTGAAGTTCAACTTACAATTAAGACAGATTAAAAAAGAGATAGAGATTTATTTACCATGGCCATGGGGAGGATAACAGAGTGATCAGTCAATATCCCAGAGAGATCCAGATATTCTTGTACACTCCTTTTAGAAGCGAGGCAGAGATAAGGAGTATAGGTAATTTTATTTAGGCTTCAGTGAGTGGTTGTTAGGGAGCATGAATGGATGGAGGAAACAGATTGATGAATGATTCCCTTTGCAAAGTAAATTAACCTTGATAAACAGGTATTATATTTTAAATGATTTGGGCCAGATCTGGTTGCATTTTTTATTTTATTTCCTGAAATATAGTGAGATAACAGAGAAGGGAAGGGAAAGGTAGGGAAGTCCATTGTTTTGATGAATTCATCTGGTTATGCAGATAGAGGAAATGCCCCTTCCAAGGCCTGTTGATCCCTAAGGACCTTTAATTCAAAATGCTCTTTATACCAGTGAGTCATATTTGGGGGTGAAATTTCCTGAGCTTCTTCATCATTCTCCCTGTCTGGAACTTTCCTGAAAGTTTCATACATTAAAAGCCTAGTCAGTGGCTATGGAGATAGAGATCTGGTTCATAGTCAAATAATAAGAGATGTGAAAAGGGAAACAAGAGCATAGGTTATAATGAGTAGAAAAGAGCAGATCTAAGCACATTTCCCCACACCATATTAAACCAGTCTCCCCTTCTTGGCTAGGGTTTGAACGACTGGCATGCAGGGGTGCTGGGTCTGTGACTGACCTGCTAGAAAAATAGTAAGGGATAGTAGGAGCAAGGTATACTGTGAAAGGAGAGCCATAGTGGAAGATAAAAGGGAGAATGGGATAGGCTTATACAATCTCTCTTCAGCTTCCAACATGCAATCCTCCAAGGGAAAAGCTTAAAAGCACAAGTGTTTAAAAGGACCATTTGGGGGAAGAGGGGACTAAATGGTAAACCGGAGTCTTTACAGAAAAAATAGGGTTTCTTGATCCATGATCATGGGAAAACTTGTCTACTTCCTTGTTATTTTTCATCTCTTTATGTTTTCCTCTACATTTTGACAGATTTTTCTCCTCTTGATCTTCTAAATCTTGCATTGACTCTTTTACTTTTGCTAACATTGTTAATTTCCAAGAGCTTTTTTTTTGTTGTTTTCTGTGTTCTTTTTTTCTCTTTAATTTGTTGTTTCTGTTTCATGAATGCAGTATTTTCTCTTACTTTTCTGAGGTTATTAAGAAATGTTTTTCCTGACAGGTCTGTCTTTCCTCTGAATAGTTTTTTTCATTAAATTACCTTTATCTGCTTGCTTTGCTCTCTCTTTTATGGTGTAAGTTTTCCTCACATATCTGGTAATTATTGGAGATTACCAAAAACTGATGGCAAATTTAAATCATGAAGGTGATACTTGCCAATTTTGAGCTTCACAGTAGGATGGTCTAACTGAACTTCTTGTTAGGGGAATTTCTGAGGTAAATATCTTTAGAGGCTTCCTCTTGGGATGCTCAGCTTTCCCAGGTCTCAAGATTCTTCTAATTTCCTTCTTTAATAGGGTTGCTTAGTTTAGTGAATAAAAATATAGGATCTTCAGATAAATTCGAGGTTCAGAGAAACTATTTTTTTAGTGTGTGTCTCATCACTGTTTGAGACATACCTATACTAAAAATATTACTGCTTATCTAAACTTCAAATTTAATTAGCAGTCCTTTCCTGTATTTTCCTGATTACCCTATTCCTGAAGGATAATTCTCTCCCTGACAGCATTTTGGGATCCAGTTGGAGGAAATGGCCTCACAGAGTGTGGGGCCCATGGTGGAGGGAGATGTTTTCAACATTCAGCCTAATTCATTCATGTAATTCCCTTCAATAACATCATTTACTTATTTTTGAGATAGGGTCTTGCTGTATTGCCCAAGCCAGAATGCAGTAGTGTGATTATAGCTCACTTTAACCTCAAACTTCTGGGCTCAAGAGATCTTCCTATTTCCATCTCCCAAGTAGCTGGGACTATTGGTGTACATCACTATGTTTTGGGAATTCTGTTTTCTTTTACTTTTTCTTTTCTTGCTTTCTTTCTTTTTCTTTCTTTCTTTTTTTTTTTTGAGACAGAGTTTCAAGCCATTGCCCTGGGTAGAGTGCTGTGGCTCTACCAACCTCCAACTCTTAGGCTCAAGCAATCCTCTTGCCTCAGTTTTTCTAATTTTAGTAGAGAAGGGGTCCCACTCTTGCTCAGGCTGAACTCAAACTCTTGAGCTCAAGCAATCCACCAGCCTTGGCCTCCAAGAATGCTAGGATTACAGGCGTGAGCTACTGCACCCCACCTATTTTATTTCTTTTTTAGACAAAGTCTCACTCTGTTACCCTGGATAGAGTGTCATGGCACCAGAACTCACAGCAATCTCAAACTCTTGGGTTTGAGCAATCCTCTTGCCTTAGCCTACCGAGTAGCTGGGACTACAGACATAGGCCACCACCCCTGGCTAGTTTTCTATTTTAGTAAAAATGGGATCTTTCTTGCTCAGGCTGGTCTTAAACTCCTAAGCTCAAGCAATCTGCCTCACTCCTCTCAGAGTGCTAGGATTACAGGTGTAAGCCAGCAAAGCTAATTTTAAAATTGTTTTTATATGGGATCTCATTATGTTGCCCAGGCTAGTCTCAAATTCCTGCCTCAGCCTCCCAAAGTGCTGGGACTTTAGGCATGAACCACTGTGCTCAGCCAACTAGGTCTTTTAAACCTCCATCTAAAGGTTTATTCTCACTGGAGAGAAAGCCTTTTACTGGAGTAAGGGAGAAGCAGTGACCCATCTGCACTGGGGACATAGTATCTAAGGCATCCTTCACAACTTTCCACCAATTTTCCTTCCTTTGTTTGACACAGCTTTACTCCCAGCTCTAGGTGCCTAGTGGTCCCACTGATGGAATTGTTGAGTATTCTGCAGCATGGATAGGGTTGATTCTTGTTTTTTCGACTCCCAGTTTAGGATTTGACTTTTCTAGGTCTGCTAAATCAGTTATTACATTTTGCCACTAACACCCTGGTTTCTAAAACTGTGTTGTGTTCTATCCTCTTATTTTCCTATCCTTATGAACTTATAAATTTGAAAAATAAGTGTAGATTTTTATTGGATCCCAAGGGAACAAAACAGAAGTATGTTCTCATTGTACCTTTACTGGAAAGTTATCTCGACCCTATTTTACCATACTTGCCCTGAAGGGCTTGCCTTCCACCTGCCAAAGTAGAAATAGGGAGCCCAATAGAGGCTGTTGCTTTAGTCAGGCAAGAAATGAATGTGGTTTGGAAGGTGCTGTACAGATGGAGTTAAATGAATATGGAGCTCTTTGGGGGAATTTTGCATCTACATGGTAAGAAGACTCAGGTACTTATATTCCTATACTATACTCAAATAGCTGTGTAGGTATAGACTGTGAAAATCTTCATGGAGAATGGTTTCAGTCTGCATCCTTGTATAATCTGAAATTAAAAAAAATAGAACACGCTTGATGCTTAAAAGCATTGCTAACTTGAGAATAATGAGGGTACAGTTGTTCATAGCTCTAGGCCAACGATCTGATTGTCTCTTTATGTGGTTAAACTATTCTACAGTGAATTGCAGGAAATATTTAAGTTCTTTATTTTTATTACTAGTTACATTAATTATTCAGCAATAAAGTGGTTGAATGTCGGGATGAAGTAATATTGTTTTACCAAGATGCATAGGCATTTTTCTTGGTCAGGAAGAATATTTTAATTGACTTTCTTAGGACTTTTTGAGATTCCCTGGCATTTTATTTAATAAAGTATTTAATTCAAAATTTTTTCTCTAGCTTTATTTGATTATCCTTAATAAAAATTATATTATTCACAGTGTTCAATGTAATGTTTTGCTATAAGTACACATTGTGAAATGATTGAATCAAGTTAATTAACATATCCAGTATGGCTTTCTTTTTTTTTTGGTCACCCTTGGTAGAGTGCTGTGCCATCACAGCTCATAGCAACCTCAAACTCTTGGGCTTAAGTAATTGTCTTGTCTCAGCCTCCCAAGTAGCTGGGACTACAGGTGCCTGCCACAATGCATGGCTATTTTTTTGTTGTAGTTGTCATTGCTGTTAAGCAGTCCTGGGCCGGGTTGGAACTGCCAGCCCCAGTGTATGTGGTCAGCACCTAACCACTGAGCCACGGGCGCTGAACCAGTATGACTTTCTTAATGGCTTATAAGTTTGCATTACTTCCCTAGGTTTGCACTCTGTTGAAGTGTAAAACGACTGACTTAAACACTTGCGGTGACTCAGTTGAAATAGCTTCTACCAGGTTTGAAATGTTCTCCCTCAGTGGCACTTTTGGAACCCCGTATGTCTTCCCCGAGGTGTTGTTGAGTGAGATTCAGCTTGCACCTGGAGAATTTCAGGTAAGAATCTTTTCTCGATACCCTGAATTAATTTTATGTAAGAAGTATATTTTATCATGAAAAGCTATCCAAAGGGCTAGTGGCTCAGGCCTGTATCCTAGCACTCTGGGAGAGCAAGGCAGGTAGATTGCTTGAGCTCATGAGTTTGAGACCAGCCTGAGTGAGATCCTGTCACTATTAAAAAACTAGCCAGGCATTATGGTGGGTGCCAGTAGTCCTACCCATAGCTGCTTGTGAGGCTAAGGCCCAGAGCTATGATGCCATGGTACTCCACCCAGGGTAACAGAGTGAGACTCTTATCTACACACACCACCCCCCCAGACACACACACTCATACCCAGACACACACAAACCTAACCTATCCAATTGCTTACTAGTATAAAAATTTCAATCTGAGAAGAGTGAGATTATCCCTGGAAATATGGAAGGACACTGAGCAGGTTGAAGTTCTTGTCTGGAAATTCTTTTTTTTTTTTTTGAGACAGAGTCTCATTCTGGTGTCCTGAGTAGAGTGCTGTGGTATCATAGCTCACAGCAGCCTCAAGCTTTTGGGCTCAAGTGATTTTTTTCCTCAGTTTTCTATTTTTAGTAGATATGGGGTCTCGCTATTGCTCAGGCTGGTCTCAAACTCCTTAGCTCAAGCAGTCCACCTGCCTTGGCCTCCCAGAGTGCTAGGATTACAGGCGTGAGCCACTGTGCCCAGTCCTGGACATTATTATTATAATCATTAGTGTATCCTTGAGAATTTAAATACCTTATTTGGGGGATTGTGGGGAGGAGGCTGGGCTATTGAAGCTCTGTGGAGTAGAAAGAAGATCCATTAAGAATGGTTTCCAAACCAGTCCCACCAAAGCCTGGTCGGATTACTGGGCAACGATGGCCTCAGGAAGTTGAAATGAAACCTTCTCATTCTGGGGAGAAAAGCAGTGAAGGAAAAGCTGAAGGACAGAGAATTTGACAGTAGCCAATGTTGGCAAAGCAAAGGGCTTTTTAAAGACCTAAAATAAGCCCTCGCGGCACACGTGCTTTGCCGTGCTCTGCCCAGCCACTTTCTTCCCAGGGCTTTTCCTGCAGGTTCCACTCTCACTCCCCTTCCCAGGTAGAAACCACTCCTGGGGAGAGGGAGGACAATGGGGTAGTGAGGGGGCCAGGCTGAGCAATGGACAGGGAACAACAGGGCTCAGTTCTAACCCCCCTTAGTTAACTCCTTCTGACCACTGAGGAAGTATTTATCTTATCTGAGAGGATTGGTTTCTCTCTTATACCACCTAATCCATTGGTCTACATTTATTAACTCCTGGGATGCTTCCTCAGATGAGTAAATGATAAGATATCCATGGCAGGAATAAGTAAATAAGTGTCAGCTCTGTAGCTCCAATTTTTCTTGTCCTCTGCAACATTTCAAGTATTTTTGATAGTACATAATTTGGCCTGTATTTTTATTATTTCTTCAGCCAGCTATACTGAATTTTGAAAGTATGTTGTGGGACTGTATAATTGAAAGGTAGATCTTGTCTACTATTCTGTTTTTTAATTAGGTGTCAAGTGATGGGCGCTTGTTTAGCCTGAAGCCAACATCTGGACCTGTCTTAACAGTGACTCTGTTTGGGAGGCTGTATGAGAAGGACTGGCCATCAAACACGTCATCAGATCTCTTAGGACAAGCACTACAAATAATGCTAGCAGTCGTAGTACTTGTTGTATACTCATTATATTGGTAGAATATTTAGGTTTTCTCTCTTTTGTTTGGGATAATTTAAAAATTTGATGGATGAAGAATAAAAGATTGGCCTTATTTTGTCACCTTTGGTAGAGAGCTATGGTATCATAGCTCACAGCAACTTTAAACTCTTTGGCTCAAGTGATTCGCTCTCTCTTTTTTTTTTTCCAAGTGATTCTCTTACTTCAGCTTCCCAAGTAGCTGGGACTACAGGTGCCACCATAACTCCCGGCTATTTTTAGAGCTGAGGTCTTGCTTTGGCTCAGGCTGATCTCAAACCTGTGAACTCAGGCAGTCCACTGCTTGGGTCTCCCAGAGTGCTTGGCTTATAGGTGTGAGCCATCGCACCTGGCTAAGGTAGATTTAAAAAAAAAAAAAATTATATTTGAGCACTGGTCTTTCTTGGCATTGGGCTGTTTGTATCAAATGAGTATCCAAAATGTTTTACACAGAAGAAATAAAAATTACAGTTAAAAAGCACATCAGAATTATCAAAAAAGGACTCTGAACATAGTACCATTTCTGTTATAACACAAATCTCTTATTCAGTGCTGCTTAAAATTTCCAATGATTTTATTTCCTTGTTCTATTAGTTATTTATCTAAACAATACATTTCAGTTCTCTTATAGGCTGACATGGTGTCCCCCACCAAATTCATATATTGAAGCCCTAACCCTACTACCTCAGAATGTCACTATATTTGGAGATAGGGTCTTTAAAGAGGTAAAATAAGGCCACACCATGCAGTGTGACTGGTGTTTTTTGTTTGTTTTTGAGACAGAGTCTCATTTGGTCACCCTTGGTAGCATGCTATAACGTCTTAGCTCACAGCAACCTCAAACTCTTGGGCTCAAGTGATCCTTTTGCCTCAGCCTCCCAAGTAGCTGGGACTACAGGCACCCACCACAATGCCCAGCTATTTTGTTGTTGTTGTTATTGTTTAGTAGGCCCCAGGCCAGATTTGAACCCACTAGGCCTGCAGCATGTGGCCAGACACACACAGGGGAGACCCTGAGAAGACACAGAGGAAGGACAACTGAACTCCCCCCACCTCAGATGTACATATTTTGTTGCTGTGCTGCAGTTTTTCTTTAGCACGTGTATCAGTCACTGTAAACTAGGTTATGATGCAATAACAAATACTATAAAATATTTCATGGCTTAATACCACAGAAGTTTATTTCTTGTTTATGCAGAGTCCACTCTAGGACACCTACCACCACTCCAAACTTCTTTCCTATTCTGTTAACTCCTTATTATACTTACATTTCTGGAGCATGAGAAAAGAATAGGGAGAAACTGGCCCACTCCCTCTTAAATGCTTTCATTGAGAGCAGCGGTTCTCAACTTGTGGGTTGTGACCCATAGGAACTATATTAAAGGGCCGTGGCATTAGGAAGGTTGAGAACCACTGATTCAGAGCAACACATGTCATTTCCACTCATATTTTATTGGCCAAAACAAATCAGATGGCCATGTGACATTTAAAGGGAGTAGAAAGTGTAAGTTTCCTGCACATCCAGGATGGGGAAGATTCATAAATATTGTGCATGCTAGTACTATCTAGCACCAAATAAGTTCCTCAAAGGCAGGTATCTTACATTCTTCTTCAAGCCAATAAGACAAGGCTAAGATCAGCTCTACACATTCTCTGTCCTTTCCATGGATCTGAAGGCTGTTTTAACCAGATTGTTTTTCCCAGAGGATATAAAGCCATCTCTGATATTGCACAGCTTCTCAAAGGGAGTACTTTGAAGGTGACCATCGTGATATTCAGCAGTGACTTATGGTATGTAGCAGTTTTTCTAGGATGAGTTAGCAAGCTTAATTCTCCAATCTCGTATATATCTAATCCTCAAACCAGAATTTGTTTAACCTCATGATTACTGCTTTTTCTGTCACTCTATGTTGATAGAGGGTAGGTATATTTTCTCCATTTTGCATTAGAGAGCAAAGCGTCAGGTTTTAAGCTTCTAACTTAATGTGTATCAAATCCTCAAACCAGAATCATTTAACTCCATGTTTAATGATTCCTCTATCACTGTAGATTGTTAATATTTTCTTGCACCATGACCTGTAGCTTCCTGAGGCACTAAATGTCAACCTTGTTTAAGTGCTGGACGCTGATTTGTTGCTCAATGATTATTAAAGCCAGATTTCTACCAGATCCTTAACCTTTCAGAGATATGTTGCATTCCTCATAGTCAAACTTGTAGGGTCAATAGCTGCACACCTTGATACAATTCAGGGTAAAGACTAAGGTGAAAGTGCCAATATTAAAATGTATGTATAAGGAACAAAGATTGAAGTTAGTTGATTATAGTGTTGATGCAGCATAAAGAACAAAAACTTTCCTTCATATACTGGGAGAAGACTTGCCAGTTAAGTTTGGAATTACCAATGAAATATGTTAACAGAAGAGCTACTGCTTTAATCTTGCTGATTTAAAATTAGATCCATATGGGGGTCCAGCCGCAGAAATACAGCAAAAGTGCTCATCAGCATGAATAGCTATTTAGCTATCAATACTTTCTAGAAACTTACAACTGCCAAAAACATGGCTTAGCTGTCAGCATGGTCGTGCACTGTCTGACAGATAGTTAAATGTCTTGAGTGATGTGCATTCTAGACATGTTGATTGGATAAAATTCAGATTGAGTTATGAAACTATTAATATCACAAAATGTTGCTTTAGTAGTTTATGACGTTGATTTTATGAAGCTGGTTGTGAACCAGCTGAGTTTGTTGTTCTTGTTTATGGTAAAATTTTGTTTCAGTCCATCAAATACAATTAACTGAGGGTTTATTTAGTATCGCAATGTGAGTAAAAATTAACTGAAAAGCCTGTCGTCATGTGTATCCAGGACTAGGAAACAACTGCTTGTTGTAGAGATTAATTATAAAAGCATGTGGTGAGAACATAAAATCAGATAGCCTGAAAATAACTCCTTAAGTTTACACAAATCATTTCATTTTAAGAGAAATATGTAGAAGTCATCTTCAGAGACTGGTGATACAAGTAGAATTCTTCTAGTGATTAAGATAATTATAAGTATTATTTTTAAAATGTTTTGATGGTTGGGTCCAGTGGCTCACACCTATCATTCTATCACTTTGGGAGGCTGAGGTGGAGGATCCCTGTAGCTCACAGTTGGAGACCAGCCTAAAGAAAAGTGAGATCCCCATCTCTACCAAAAATAGAAAAATTAGCTGGGCATGGCAGCAGGCACCTGTAGTCTCAGCTACTCAGGAGGCTGAGGCAAGACGATTGAGCCCAGGAGTTTGAGGGTACAGTGCTCTGTGATGAGACCACCACACTGAAGCCTAGGAGAAAGACCCTGTTTCAAAAAAAAGTTTTGAAATTACTCTTAGTGTCTCACCTGCGTAACTTGTAATTAATACTATTCCATTGCCCAACGGGTGTTAAGTAAAATTCTCACTAATGTAGTAATCTTAGTTTCCGCTATCCAGGTATTTAGAGGGTCCATGGAAGAAACCAGCTATAGAGGAAAGGAAAAGCTTTATTCAAAAAATTTTTTCCAAATTCTTGGTAGTGGTTAGTAGCTAGAACTCTGAAGTCAAAAGAAATGTGGAATCAAATACCATTGCTGTCCTTAATATTTATCTATGTTCTTTCCTTTGTTAAAGAAATGGCTTTAAAGAATATTTATTATTTAGAGGAGTTGTGAGAATAAATTTAGGATTTCATGTCATGATCTTAGCCTTGTGACTGGTATAGGGTTAGTAAAATTTCTCCTCTCCTTCCTACCTTTTCTTCCTCTCCCTTCTCCTCCTTCCACATTTCCTCTTCTTCCTCCTCCTCTTCTTCCCTTTCTCCTCTGCCCTTCTCTTCTCACTACTCCTCTTTGTCCTTACTGGCAGTGGCAAGCTCAGACTGTGCCTGTACAAGCAACTTTGTTCATGTTCTGCCTTCAAGAGTTCCCAAGATAGAAGAAAGTGAGTAAACACACTATGGAAAATACACTATTATAAACTGTTGTTTCAGTTTCTTGCGACCTTTCCTCTCCCACAGGGGGAAAAATGAGAGGGGTAGAGTTATTTCATGTTGGGTCACTCCATTCTAAGACCTCTAGGACAGAAGAGGGACCTGGTATACAAAGCCACGTCCTACTAAACTTTGCAGAGGGTTGCCCTCTACAGGTCCCCTCTGACCCAGATGTGAATATAACATCTGGGTCAGAGATTCAAGTTCAATAAGAAATTGGCATTCTAAGTGTAGTTTCTTAGGGGTGGTTCAAAATGAGAAAATACTGTTCCTGATATGTACTAGCTGAGTCTTGTTAACATACCCTTCTTCTACATGGCCTATTGTGACCAATAAACACATACATAGACGAACCTAAAAGCTCCACTCTTTAATACTCATAAAAAGATTCAGAGTTGAGGGACACAATTATAAAAGGGACTCTACCTAACAAATGCAAACATTATAACCTAATTCTTTGTACCCTCAAATCAACCTGTGCTGTACGCAGTGTTTAGAAATTATAAATTAAGATCTGCTGGGCATGTCAAAGCATAGACTAGGACCAACGGACAGAGTCAAGGAAGCTAACTTTACCCCCTACGCATTGTACCCATTTCTTTTGTAACTTTTTGACCTCATGATTATATGACATTGTTCTTAAGACGTTCTCTTTTGCTTTTTCCTGTTACTACCTTGGTTCTTTACTGTCATGGTAAAAAATAACTCTTCTCCTTATGTTAAGTAATGAGGTTAGAGTTTCTTTTTGTTAATATTAACTTTTTGCTCCATGCTGTGTTACATGTATACATTTTTCATGCTCAATAAAAGACTCCTGAGGTTTTCTTTCCACGTAGCACTTTCTGGCTACTCTCTGGGCATGTGAAGTTGCTCCCCCTCCTTGGTTATTGCACTGCAAATAACTGAGTGTGAGAGTGATCTTTTCATGCCATCCCCTCGCCAGCTTATCCACAGGTAGTGAACAACTACAAGTGGTGCCCAAACAGAGACTTGGAACGGGGCCTCTCCAGGACACTGACAAGCCATGGCAGTGACTATCTCCCAAAGTCCAGGAAGAAGGGGACAAGGTCTCTCAT